ACACACACACACACACACACACTTACCCGTAGTTGTATATTATTTTCTTATAACCTTCTATCCATTTGTGCACGTAGAAAAATGTCCATCAAACAACTTGTGAATTCATTTGCAATCAAACCACCTTGTGCCTTGTGTCATAAGTAACAGATGGCATCACACGAGGTTGCGTTGAAGATTATGAGTATGCTTTCGAAACGACAGCTGGAGGAATTGATAGACAGTGCCAAAAGTACACCCTTAAGATCCGTGCAAATCATCTTATGATCTTCTTGCCTAAGAGCAAAGGTTTTATCCATGGCGTGCCCTTTCTTTGTCATTTTCTTTTTCTGTCATGTGAGATTCCCACTTTGTGTGGCTGACGTTGTCAAGACTCAAAACTCACGCACAATTAATATTGATCATTTTTGGCTTATAGATGGAAGAGAGAAGACAGGCAAAATCAAATGTGGAAAAGTACAACATCTTAAACAGGGCACGAAGCAAAAAAAAAACAAACATGGATCAGTGTCAACACATTATTGAGAAGAACCAAAACAAAGATAACAAATACATGCATTCCAAAATCAAAGAAGTAATTGGGATAAAAGGATGCTCAGATACATGATGCATATTTAAGATCAAAAGGGGGAGATATTTTAATGGTCCAACTATATCTTCTATACGTGTACTTTCTACTTTGGCATTAAAGTCCCCCATGACTAACTTTACATCTTGTGATTTTAACTGTTTCATTGCCTTATCAAGGTCTTCATAAAATGTCTCAATTTCCTCGTTGTCGTGCTCTGATGTTGGTGCATATATCTGGATGACACCTATGTCAAAAGGTTTTCCATCTAATTTAGCCATGATGACTCTATCTGACACTCCACAAAAACCTTTGATGCTCTTTGCTGTTGCTTCGTCAAATAAAATTCCGACTCCTCTTTTATGGGTTTTTCCTCCTGAGTATACAGTTGATTTGGATCCTTTTTTAATCAAGCCTCCCCCTCCCATCTAACTTCTGAAAGGCCTAACATAATTTTTTGTCTTCATCCTATCCTTTTCCTGCTCAACATTGTCTAATTTGCCTTTTTGGTGCATTGTTCTCACATTCCATACGGCTATGTTAAGTTGTTTAAGTCTAGTTTTGTAACTAGTAGCTGGATGACGATCGGGCGCCACCTGCTGCCCGTGGCGGTCCCTACCGAGCGGTGAGTTCAGAGCTGGATCATGAACCCCCTTCACGCTGTTATCTGAGAAATGAAAGTTATTTTTCTTTAACATTATTTTTCTTGGGAGATTAAGGTTCCGAGAGATCCTGATCAGTTTCAAGGTTCCAATCTAAGTATCCGATTTTTATTTTTTCATCACTTAAAAATAGCTAGGACTGGAACAAAATAACCAAATAAAAAACCGACATGAGAAAATGAAAACTCAGAGATTGGAAATCACTGGTCTTACTTATTTATTTCACAAAAGAGAAATCACTTGAAGGGTTGATACATTGGTAAAAGACAAAAAACGCGTACATAGCCATTCCCCTTGAAGAAAAATAGAAAAGTAAAAAAAAAAAAAATGAAACAAACAAAATCACAAAACACACTAACCAAAACCCAACCAAAACCAAAACCACAACCAGTCAATAAAACAAACAAAAATTAAAGGAAAAAATCAGCGTTTCCTTATTCGATACCACAGAGTACAGCCACTTCATTGGCTTGTTCTTT